ATTCGCCTCTCTGCTTCAAATTCGCTCGATGTGCTTGTAGCTTTGTTATCTGTGCTATGCGCAAATAAACTGTAGTCGCCGCTTCTTACTGCCTTCTGGTTTTTAACACAGCCCTTTTTTTCATCTCTCTATTTCTATTTTTAATTGCCTTTATTTTTTTTAAATTAAATTTCTTAATCTGTTTTTTTTCCTGCATTTTTTTAAAAATCATTTTTAACATTTTCGTGTTTATTTATTTGTTTGTCAATAGTACACAAGAATTATCTTTCTATTATAAGGTTGTCGTTCGTGTTTCATTTATTTTTGTTTAGGTTTGTTAGTTAAAGCATTTTTTATATTTATTAATTTATAAATTTTATATATATTTATTCATGTCTTTATTTTCATCTTTTGAACATTTTGTTTTTCTGCGTTATATTACTGAAACTTAGTAAGTATATTAATTCTGCACATGTAAAAATGTTATATGGACATATTTACTTAAAAAATTAATTCGAATAATGGAAGTACCGGAAACATTACGAAAACGATAGAAAGCAAGAATGCAATATGAATTGAAATGAAGTTATAAAATGCATATTTGCGATGGTGTCGCAAACAGAGCTTTAATATATTAACAATATTGTACGGTGCAAATCTTTTTTCAATTATGTACCTGTTCAATGAATAATAGAAGTATTTACTTTTAATGTGTTTGGAAGAAGGCGTATTGTGTGATTGACTTTTGAATTGTCATCGTTACTCATCTGACGGATGAGAATAATAGTGATGGTGAGTGTCTATGATATTGGGTAGAATTTCAAGCAATTGGTTCTTTTATGTTTTCTAATTATCACCATCATCAGTTTCAATTGTTTCACATTAAATCATTCCTCAATTTTATATTTCAGTATATATGTTGTTGTATGCAGCTGATGGGAAATCACGAAATACACCAAATTCATATTATTTTGTCTCAGTAATCATTCTAGTCTAGTTCAAATTCATAATAATAACCAACTGCTTGGAATTTCTGTAGAATCGCTTCCCTGTTCGTTTTTTTGTCGCTTAATCTTTTGGTGACAATCTATCGAAGGATATCGGAGGAAACAACGAGATTTAAGTTTTTGAACAGTGCTTGAATGATGGCTGCTTCCTTCATTACTTTTTTAAGCTGTACGTGCACGTAAAATACCTCCTTCATTGAAAAACCTACTATGTGTCACAAATTCTCAAATCGAATGTCTTAAAGAACTTATCTCTAAACTCAAAACAGAATTCCTCGCTTTTGATAAAATTGTTACGGATTTAAATATTGTACATTTAAATATAATAATGGGTTCCATTCATAATGTTCAGTCAAAATCCAGCTGTAAGTTTTTAAAGATATTAACGAAAACACATGTAAAAGAACGAAATCATGACGTCTTTCCTATTAATCCCGAAAAATGTATGCAGAATTTATCGACAAAAAAGCTAAGTTTAATTGAAACAGAAATTCTCCCTCGGATTTAAATTTTATATTCTGGAAAAATTGTGACAGAATCGACACTTAAACTCAATTTGAATATTTATATCAACAGCATTTAGATCAGACCTAAAACCTATGAATAATAAAAAACAAAATAAATAATATATTTGTTGAAATGGAAATTAGTGTATATTACCAATCAGTACATTACAACACCAGTTTCACAGTTTAAGTTTTAAGTAAAGACCATCATCAAGCATTGTGAAAACTTGTGAAGTACAAGATACTAATGCTACTTTAATCAGATAAGGATTCCAGTGTAATTATCCTAAACAGAGACGAATACAATAGCACTGTAATGTCCATTTTAAATGAATCCAAGAGATTTATCATCGACAATACTCAGAAAGACCTAATGCATACAACTGACTGGAATCTTTGAAGAAATGAGAGAACATTTGAAGAAGAATTTATTCGATAATCCTACCTACAGTGAACTCAAACCGAAAGGATAACAATTACCTCATTTATACGATTTACCTAAAATATATTTCATACATCCCAATGAGGCCAACATTATCTATGACCGATTCACGTTTCCACAAACTCACCCGCTGGTTGACAAGGTGTTTAGAACCAGTCCGTAGGAAAATAGCTCCCTACAGTCTGTAAGATAGTTTCGAATTTGTACAAAAGCTTGATAACTTGAATGCTTCCGGTATAGTCCGACGTCTCATCTCTCCATAAAAATTCCCTTGGAAGAAACTACAGATATTTATATAAGCATCTGAACTACCTGCATTTTCATACCAATGAATTCAAACAGTTTCTGTTCTTATGCACCAAAAATACACATTTTCAATTTGACAGTATGTTGCACCACTAAACTGATGTAATAGCCATGACTAGCACTCTGGGACCACTTTTAGATGCTATATTTATGGGGAACCTTGGACAGAAAAGTTTAGGCACTCAGATGAAACAACTGCACTCTATTGTGGGTATATTAATGACACATTTCTCGTCTGCAACAATCATACGCATTCTATGCACTTACTCAGTATTTTTAACAATGAACACGATGATATAGATTTTACCAGGGGGCATGAAGTAAGTAAATTCCATTTCTCGCAAAATTGAAATGAAACGAACTTCAGACTGTATGTACACTAAAAAGACACATTCACTACAAAAATACTCGAAGTCGAGTTTATCTAAATTATAACATTTTATGTCCAGTGATTTGCAAAAAGATGATAATACGAACACTTTATTACCACTCTCATAGCCTTTATTCGAAGGAAACCCTGAAAGAAAAACTTGTCTTTATTACAAAAAGAGAGATTAATCGAGACATATGCCTAAATCAACGTGCGGATTAAATATGATATGATGGAAAATAAAAAAATAATTCTCGAATAAACGTAATAAAGAAGATGTATTCACAACAAAAACAAAAACAGGATATATAATGCAATGAAGGCAGGTTGAAAATCAGCATGAATGACTGTAGTTTAAGAGAACATGCATATTCCAACAAAAAAAGATAGACAATAATCCCATCCCCAGTAGACCCAAATGCATTTAGCAATTCAGATATGGATATCAGAAAATAACATATTGAACACAACATCACACCACATTCAACTACAAACAATACAATCAACGCACAACACCACCATCACTACAATCCCAACAAACATCCACACACAAACACTCACACGCATGCTTCGCATGCACACGCAAACAATCTAACACAAACAAACCAAACACCAACGCCACAACAACAACAACAACAACAACAACAGCAGAAACAACAACAACAAGAACGCGCACATTCACACTGCCAACAGCCAAGTCAATGAAGGTGTCGCGATGAAAATCCCTGATGCTCATTCATACACTCTCTGATCAAACGGAGTGCTCTCATCAAATCCGACTGGACACAAACATCTGGTAGTCGGTGTTAGCGACATGTGATTCCTCGACGTCGGTCGAGACCTATAACAGTGTGTGAGGTCGCGAGTCAATCACCAAACACAATATCATATGATCGTCTCACCAACACACATTTAGGTGTGATCGCGGGTGAGCGCGTTGATGAGCATTTCAATGTGTGTCTGTTCGTCGATACCAAGTGGTACATGAGGAGGTTACAAACGAACCGGTCGTGTTGAACACCGTCATGATGATGGAGATGAGGGGAACAGGGTGACGACAATTGTTGTCATTAGCGATTTGTCGGTGACCGTATTGGTAATGAGCATGTTAAGGTCTTTTTCATGCATTTTAAGCTGTTTTTTTATTTTTTTCTCTTACTTCTTTGACGGCTTCAATACTTCGTTTCAAGTAGTCCTTTTTATTCTTGTTTTTTAATTTTTATTTTGCATGGTTTCATGTCTTTCTCTTTCCTCCGCTGTGCTTTTTTATCTTTTCCTCGTGCGTTTTGCTGTCGACTTCCGTTTAGTTGAAGGCTTTTGATGAATGTGTGTTGTGATCATTATCAAATTTTTTATGCGATTGTTAAATCTGTGTCTAAATTTTTTAATATATGCTTAGTCCCGTATTTAGAGTCATGGAAAATTTTGTATCTACATTCCCGAATAAAACGAAACGCGCGCCCTGGATTCCAGTGCTAGCCACTCTACATCTTTGTTTATAATGCCTGTAAAATCAAGGCTATATAGAGGCAATACGCAGAGTATGCACATATACCAGTAAGAGACTGATCAATTGAACTCCTAAACAGAAATGGGAAGATTCATTTAAACAATACCAAGCGAATTTATCTACAGTATCATTTGAAATATGATTATTGACCACTTTATGGAATAGAACTTACTAAAGATTGATTAGTTGACATCATTTCGGTTGTTCCATGATGTTCGAAAATCTATTCATTCTGATTTGAATATTATTTGATTAGATAGAGGAATGATTTTAAATTTGTCGCAATTATTCTTACGAATGCAGTTAAAAAGTTAAATCTTTCATTCAGTTAGTTTTCATTTGTGAGTACTGTCACTTGAAATAGAAGTTATGCAATTTAGGTTTATCTTGTTGCCTTCTAGCCATTTAATCTCTGTCCTAGTCTTAAGATTAAAATGTAACGTCCATGCTGTTGGTATAACACCAATTGAGTGTGTGAAATAAATCACTTATAACATGACTATTACGATTATGGAAAAATATTGTAATGAATTTGTATGATAAGAAAAAAGATGTGAAAGATAATCATTGTTATGATTGGTTGGTGTAGAGAAACAATAGTACTTGAAACACATATAATATACATGAGCTTTCCAATATTTTATAAAATGGCTATTTTGTCTATGTAACATTTCCTATACTACGAATTTAAAAGAAGATAAACACTTTTAGTAAGTATTGTAGTTAGCTAAGGGAAAATTTCCAATAAAGATATAATTCAACAGTGATCTTTAAAGATGTACTATTCAACAAATAGCGATTCTTAACTTTTTCCATTCAGTGCTTCAATACATGATTACGGTAGTTTAATAAATGAATAAAAAATACATAAGTTTTTCATTTATACAAATTCAATATCATTAGCTTCTGGATCATAAATTGCCTTGTAATCTTCAAATAGTGTTTGGAGCTTTTCTATATAAATTTGTTTAATATGTGCGACTTGTTCGTCTGTAGGTTCATTTATTTTTTCGCATTGAATTGGAGCACCAACTGTAGGAAAAAAGTGGTTTTTTTTCAAGATATAACATGATAGTGATAAGTTATTTTCTGAAATTGGTAGAATTCTGAGCTACAAATTCTTGTTTAGTTATAACAAACTGACCTAGTTGAATTTACGACAATATGTACCTTTACTGGTGTTTTTTTTTAATGTAGCCTTTCGTTCCAGACGCTATAGTTTAGTTAGTTTAAAGTGTCTCGAAATATTACCTATACAAATTAGTTTTGTACTTAATTCGCTGAGTGATAGGAATAGCTGTAAACAGTCTTGTATGCTCGACATGTTAACAAAATAATTGAAAGAAACAATGTTGATGTTTTGCGAGGTAAGTCAATGGCGACTGTGGTCTGTACATTTTCACTTTGAAAGGTAAAGCGGTTTTATTTATTTGAAAACTATTTCACATTAAATAGTAGTTAGCATCATAATCCATGATAAAGGTTTCATTTTATATGGACTCCTCAGCTAGATTTACTTCCACCTCAATACAGATATATCTACTAGGATACAAACTTAGTGGTCGTAGTTTCAAACCCCATAGTGTTAAACACACAACACCAGTCTCGGACTTCAGTGGTAGCTGCTTCTGAACACCTAACCAACATATGAATTCAGCTGATATTAAGGGAATTATATGAGTTGCTCATATGCAATCAAAGACTGGTTAGCGGTGAAGAAATACGATCCCATATACTTTTGGAAATGTTTGTTAAAAATTGGGTTCTCATAAAACGTAAGGATTGAACTTCATGAATTTTCTCCATGCATAGTGTGTAAAAAAGAAACATTTCTTAAAGAATCATTCTCTAAGTAGTCAGTATTTAAATTTTAACAATTTGTGAATGATCACCTACGAAAATTCCTATAAGAGCCGGAAACTGCAACTCTTCAACGTAATTAGTAACATACCTACAGTATAAACTGGGTTACGATACGGAAAGGGACCACGAGCATAGAAAATAGGCAGTGCAACGGTAGAAATCGACGTAAATTTATCCTGTAACCATCGTATCCATGATCCTTTTTCATTTGGAACTTGATGATATAAGCTCTGTTCACCAAATGATATACACGGTACCAAATATGATCTTTAATTAAAACAAGAATAGTTCAGCATAAATTAGATTATCTCGAATACATCGACTAAATGGTAGAAACTGAATTATTTTGTGCTTGTCCTGTAATTTCAAGGGCTGAAAAACAATCGAATAGTTAGATTTTCAGGACTTTAAAGGACATAGCTGACCCACAGTAAGTTATAGAGATAAGGGATTGCAAAAACTCAGAAATAGGATTGTGGAGATTTACAAGTTAAAATGTATTAAGTAAGTCGGAAATTTGTACGAAAAATATTACCAAATAATATAAGTTTTCTTCCAACAAACTTTCAAAATAACAGTTAAGTAAACAATCAATTTATTTCCTGTCTAAAGCAGAATTCCTTCATCCATATTAGAAGCCAAAAGTTCTTACCCAACTACCTATTAATATTACTTAGATTACTGAATTCCGACTTTAGTGCTTTCATTTTTCAGACTTTACAAAGTTTGCTGCTATGTACAATTGATTGATCACTGGGTGATGATCAATTTCATGTATATAAGGTCTTTCATAGTGCAGATCAAATCCTATCGCCCAAGTTGCAGTGTGGTCACTAGTCTAGGTGACTCGTCATTGCGCGCACTATTTCGAGATAAGATGGCGGTTGGAGGTAGTTAACAGGTTTCCTGTTAACTTCAATTGACTCATGATTTCAATTAGTGAAATGTCTAAAATCTCCACAAAACCCCTTCTGATAATAATCATCTGCTCACTGGTGACTGATTTCAAGAGACACTCCTGGAGTTCTAGTGAGAAGTCGTTACCAGTGGAGTTCAACCAGGTTTGTTGTGAGATATCAACTCACTGAAGAAAATGGTGTACGACAGCGCAACTTTGTGGATTGGTTGAAGTTAGACATTAACACCGTTGGGTGCCGGCTCAGTGGTCTAATGGTTAAGTGCTCGCGCGAGACTGATAGGTCATGGGTTCGAACCTCGTGGTGGTCGGGATCGTGGATGGGAACCTCTGAGGAGTCCCATACTACGACGGAACGGTCGTCCAGTGCTTCCAGGTATTCTGTGGTGGTTTAACTTCAATCGACTCATGATTTCAACCAGTGAAATAAAAATATTAGTTATTCACACATTTGTAAAAAATGAAGAGCCATAATTTGATAATTAATTATCTTTGAAGGTATAAACTAATAGTTTTCATAAATCTTTATGTTATAGCAAGTATAGAGTATTATCTGATTTATTAAGTTAAATATTACAGTCACACAGTCACTTTATAAGGCCAAGATGATTTTACAGTATCATACCTCTATTTTAGACATAACTCGAGTTTCGTCCTATTTGGGACTTGTCAGCCGGGTGTACCTGCATCTCAAAGGTGATATTCACTCTGGGACTCGAACCCAGTAACGTTCACCCTAAATGCCATCTCAATATCCACTTAGCTACTGAGTCCTAATAGCCATCTGCTTGTGCAATGGGGGAAAGTTTTAAATTCACTTGGTGTTGTTAAATTGTATCCTCCCATCAACTCTGAGATGCAGGTACATCGAGCTGATGAGTCTCAAATAAGGCAAGACGAGCGTCCTGGATCCCATTGCTAGCAACTATATATCTTTGCCTAAAAAGCTTGTGACTTCAAGCAATATCGGGGTAGTCCACACAGTATACACATATGTCAACAAGAGACTGTTCAATTGCAGTCCTAAATAACGATGGGAGGATACAAGTGAATTTAATGAGAAATATCATCCAATAGTTATTTTATTTTCTTCATTATCATGTCAATAAAAATTTGTTGATTAAAAATTTATGCAACGTTTGAAAAAAATTGATTAAATTTCACGCAACACCTACCCAGTTTGTAAGGCTAACTTGAAAAAACCAAAACGTTGATTAATGTGCATCACATATGTTCCAGGTCTTGAATCTAAGGCTTCGGAAGCCCCACCAAGAACGACAACGACAAAATTTCCTGTTTGTTTGCAACTATTCTTGTCCAAAAGGTAATGTAATCCTTTCTTAGTAGCAGCAATCATTCCTGAGTGAAAGTTATATTGAATAAAAATCGTAAATTAAAACTTTAGTTACAGTCGCATTGTCCACGGTTAGATCGTCAGAAGCACATAAGTGTTTATATTCTACTAAAAGCTATAAGCTTTTTTAAAATATCTACCTTGACGTGGTGGTCGGGCTTGCCTATCGTGATGAAGCAACTGAGCTATACTGGCTGGAACAACCGTTCCTCAAGGTCCTACCATGCCAGACAGGTCGGTTGAAGAGCGGTAAGACTAAAAGCAACAAAACCAAGGTCCGAAGGCGAAGTCGTACTGCTGACTGTACAGAGGTGTGACAGCAGTAAGGTGTTTCCTTCAGACAACCAGCATAACAGCGATGCTGCCTTCCCACAGGGAGAGGAGGGGTTAGAAAAGTTCGACCCTAAAAATGCACACCTCGCCTTATCCCACGGATATCCGTCTCCGGCGGTAAGGTTTCAACAAGTACGGAGCTAACACTAAAACTACTCATAAAAAGGTCGTGTGTGACCGACCTCAAGCAGCTGTCCCTTGGGCACTGCGGTCACGCTCTCAGGTCACTATGACCACCTCTAATCCAATTTCCTTTTCAGGTACCTCCAGCAGAACCCTTCTACGGTGTGGGCAACCGGGAATTGATAACCGCCCTCATACCTCTAACAGCACTCAAGACCACTGTATTCATAATCAACCTACCTCTTCAATTCCTATTATTCCTCTTACATCGACTTTCAAATCTAAACTCCCTCTTCTGGCTTCCTCCTCAAGTGTCATCACAGCCAACGATTCTAGTGCGCAAAACACTGTCTCAGGTCTACTGAAACCTCGCTCCAAACACATTGGAGCCTTGAACGTACGCACACTATGCCAAATCGGTCACAGGCCTACTTGGCTAAAACCTTGGAATCTCGTACCATTAATGTATGCTGTGTCTCCGAAACACGCATACAGGATCCTAGCGTGGTCATTCACTTGACCTCACCTCGGCAAAACGGAGAGCCGACGAGATACACCCTCCGTGTATCTGGCGACCCGATGGCTAGTTCTCATGGACTGGCAGGTGTAGGCATAGCACTAAGCATGAGGGCGGGACAAGCGCTACTAGAGTGGATCCCCGTTAACAGTCGTCTATGCGCTGTTCGGCTAAGCGGCTCGGTAAGAACTCGGAAGGATAGGGACACACGTCGTTGCCTCTTTGTCGTTTCTGCCTACGTTCCCACTGACTGCAGTTCGGATGAAGTGAAAGATGAATTTTACAGAAAGCTGTCTGAACTTCTTCAGAAAGCTAAACGTTCAGACATATTACTCGTAGCAGGTGACTTTAATGCCCAGGTAGGTAGCTTGAACGAAACAGATAGACATTTAGGTGGGTATTTTAGTATTCCGGCACAGCGAACAGATAATAGTGATCGTCTGCTGCAACTTTGCTCAGACAATGGTTTATTCTTAGCAAACACAAATTTTAAGCATAAGGAGGGACATCGTCTAACATGGTGACCCCCTGCACCAAACCAACGATGGACTCAAATAGACCATATTGCCATCAGTCATCGTTGGAGGGGGTCAATAGAAGATTGTCGCTCGTTCTGGAGTACCTGCTTGGACTCCGACCATGCCCCAATACGAGCACGCATCTGCTTGCGCCTCACTGGACGCAAAAGAGCCACACAAAAAAGACTCATTAGAACCGGATTGAGTAATGAGAAAACCAAAAGTAGGTTCCAGGAACAACTGAGGTCACACTTAGGTAGTTCTGAAAACGAGGCTGACCCAGATGTTGCTTGGAAAGACATACAAGCAGCTGTGGAAACAGCAGTGACATCTACTAGTGATTTAAACCACAGGGTTACAAAGAACCAATGAATTTCTTCAAGGTCTATTGCACTGATAGATTCTCGTAAACTCATCCCATCAGGTTCTGAACACGATGAATAGCGTAAAGAAATCAGATCTAGGTTAAGCAAAAGTCTAAGGAACGACCGTGAGCAGTGGTGGGCAATGAAAGCTAAAGAGATGGAAAAGGCGGTGGCTATAGGGAACACAAGACAACTCTACAGACTAATAAAACAAACTGGAATTAATAAATCAAGTGTAAGTCAGACTATTTCGGAAAAAGACGACACTCTCATCTGCTCCCAGTCCAGACGCTTAGAACGATGGGCGGAACACTTTAAGGAGCAATTAAGTTGGCCTTCAGCTACTCTACAACTAGCCTCTATTCCCAGACAGTATGAATGGAACATTGAAGTAGGTCCTCCAACTCTAGCTGAAGTTCAAAAGGCTATAGCTAATCTGAAACGAGGAAGGGCAGCTGGTCCAGATGGATTGGCTCCAGAGGTCTTTAAGGATGGTGGTCTAGTTTTAGCAATTAGGTTGACTAATATTTTAGCTAAAATCTGGGAGTTAGACGTTATCCCATTTGACTGGTCACAATCACTTATCGTCCCAATATATAAGAAAGGGTCAAAATCATCCTGTGATAACCATATAGGGATTATTTTGACTAATATAATATCTAAAATACTAGCTTCAATAATCATCAGGCGCCTAACTAAGACTCATGAACTGCAAACACTAGAGAATCAAGCTGGCTTCAGGCCTAGTCGTGGATGCATTGACCACATATTCACCATTCATCGGGTTCTAGAACACAGGCATACTGTTCGGCGTTCGACAATGGTGGTCTTCCTTGACTTAAAAGCAGCGTTTGACTCAGTTGACTGAGAGATTCTGTGGCAGTGTCTGTCATTGAAAGGCGTAACTCAGAAGTACATAAACCTTGTGAAGGCTCTTTACTCGAACACTACTAGTCGAGTCAGAGCTTATGGCGAACTGTCATCTGCTTTTGCAACCTCAAGTGGCGTCCGCCAAGGCTGTCCACTTTCTCCATTTTTGTTTAACTTCATCATAGATCTACTGATGGAAATAACGCTCTCATCGACTGAATTCTCGGGCGTCAATTTCCTACCAGGAGGTCCTCTTATTGACTTAGAATACGCAAATGACATAGTCCTGTTTGGTGAAGACGCTGATGAAATGCAGAGTCTTTTGGTAGCACTGAGCAACAATTCCAGAATGTTTGGGATGCGCTTCTCTCCCTCTAAATTCAAGTTGTTGCTTCAGAACTGGTCTGCGTCAACACCTGAACTAAGGATAGGGAGTGAAGTAGTCGAACGCGTTGACAACTTCACTTATCTTGGAAATCTGATCAGCCCTAATGGGTTGGTGTCTGACGAAATCTCAGCACGGATTCGAAAAGCTCGTTTGGCCTTTGCCAACTTACGTCATCTATGGCGAAGGCGAGATATCCGTCTATCAGTTAGGGGACGAGTATACTGCGCGGCAGTTCGTTCCGTTCTACTATACGGCTGCGAAACATGGCCATTAAGAGTAGAAGATACTCGTAAGTCACTAGTGTTTGACCACAGGTGCCTTAGAAATATTGGGGGTATCTGCTGGGATCACCAGGTAAGTAATAGTGAGGTTAGACACAGGGTATTAGGGAATGATGGTAAATCAGTTGGTGAAGTTATGAATTTTCATCGACTGAGATGGTTGGGCCACGTGTTACGTATGCCTGAACACCGATTACCACGACGCGCAATGCTCACTGGTGTTAGGGATAATTGGAAGAAAGTTAGGGGCGGTCAAACCAAAACGTGGCATCAGTGCTTGAAGACACTAACTTCTGGTCTGAGCCATGTTGGTAGATGAAGACTGCCTGGTTGGGGTCCGCGTGACTATCGTAACCAATGGTTGGAGACTCTTGGTGACATGGCTCAGAATCGATCACAATGGCGTCGGTGAATACACACCCTGTCTTCCTTTAAACTAAGAGATTAAAATCACTTCAAATCTTTCTTTCTAGGAACTAATTCTTTCTTCCTGCACTATCTCCTTATATGCTATCTTTCTTCTATATATTGCCACCACTGAATTAACTACTTCTATGAGTCCGGTATTCATCTTGTTGTGCTAATGCGGTATGGCAACTTGGACCTATGCATATACGTGCCTGGTCCTACGTTGCAGCTGACTGACTGACTGATAGGACTTGTTCCACAAGTGAAAAGTGTTGTGTCCGAAGAAGATTAAATTATAGGTAACTTCTGGGGACTATTTATAGACTACTATTATATATATATATATATATATATATATATATATATATATATATATATATATATATATATAACTAGATTATATATATTTATTATGAGCTTACATTTGACCTATTGGCTATTGAGATACAATTTATCATTTCTTATTTCCGATTTATTAGTTACAGTATCTCACACTCACTGTCACTTTTGGCTTGATCTTGTATGATTGTTATTTTCTATTTGATGGTATGATGCAATGTGGTTTGCTTGTACAAAATCTTGTACATGACTCATACAGTAGGAGCTGAGATTGCTTTCTGGACTCAACGGGCAAGATTAGGTGTGAAGCCACTATAAAGAGGACCAATAAGGACTCAGAATTGAATCTAGGCTGCATCATGGGTTTGGCACAGGGCCAAAGTCGTATTGTACTGAACGAGAACACCAATGGGGACAATCAGATGTATTTGAATACAAAATTACAAAACGTCGTAGTAGAATCTGAGAACCATACAGTAAATACTTCATTCGCAGAATGTCAATCAATCGTCTCAGACTTTATTGTTACCTCGTTTTGACACCAATCATTCTCTGTCCTCGTCCTCCTTTCTTCGATCTTCTTAATTTTCTGCCGCCAGGCATTTCACTTTCGAATAGTGATGCATACTACTTAGATCTGTCAACATCAGTGGCACACACCGAAGTATAAGTCGGTGCTGTAACTGACGATTTTGTCACGTGATATTACGCGGGGCTTGGACATAACAAAAAGAGCTTGAAGGGCAATAAATGTCTAGCTACAAATCATTCAATGTAAGGAGATTTTACATCATAGACTGAAGTTAGCTTGACAATGATTGAAAATAAGAGAACACTGAACACGTGTTACGTTTTAGTGTGTA